ACACTCTTCTGAGTTACTCAACTCCCCTAAAGAAGCACTCCTTTCATGTCCTTCATTGAAAAGATTATGAAAATAACCTCTCCATCTGTCTTTAACCGCGTTCTCTGTAGCAAGAACCTTTCCATCCTCATCCTTGATGCACCTCACTTGGTTTAGGTCCCTTGTCTTCTTTTCCCTTGCTCTAGCTAGTTTATAGATATCCAACTCTCCTTCTTTGGTATCTAGTCGCTTTATACATATCGTCATAAGCCGCTAACTTAGCTTCTCTCACAGCTTTCTTCGCCTCTTGCTTCGCTTTTCTATACCTTTCACCATTTTCATCGGTCCTATCCTTGTATAAGGCTTTACAACATTCCTTCTTAGCCTTCACCTTTGTTTGTACCTCCTCATTCCACCACCAAGATTCCTTTTGGTGTGGGGCAAAGCCCTTGGACTCTCCTAATACCTCTTTTGCTACTTTTCGGATACAACTAGCCATGGAATCCCACATTTGGCTAGCTTCCCCCTCTCTATCCCACACACACTGGGTGATTACTTTCTCTTTGAAAATGGCTTGTTTTTTCTTCTTTTAGATTCCACCATCTAGTCCTTGGGCACTTCCAAGTCTTGTTCTTTTTTCTCACTCTTTTGATATGTACATCCATCACCAACAAGCGATGTTGATTAGCCACGCTCTCTCCTGGTATAACTTTGCAATCCTTACAAGTTATACGATCCCCTTTCCTCATTAGAAGAAAATCTATTTTGTGTTTTTGACGACCCACTCTTGTAGGTGATCACATGTTCTTCTCTCTTCTTAAAGAAGGTGTTGGCTAAGAAGAGATCATATGCCATTGCAAAATCCAAGATAGCTTCCCCATCCTCGTTTCTCTCCCCAAAACCATGGCCACCATGAAAACCTCCATAGTTGCCTGTCTCCCTGCCCACGTGTCCATTTAAATCTCCTCCTATAAATAACTTCTCCGTCTGAGCAATTCCTTGCACCAAGTCTCCAAGGTCTTCCCAAAATTTCTCCTTCGAACTCGTATCCAACCCTACTTGAGGTGCGTACGCACTAATCACATTGATAAGTTCTTGTCCTATTACAATCTTGATTGCCATGATTCTATCTCCTACCCTCTTGACATCTACAACATCTTGTGTCAAGGTCTTGTCCACGATGATGCCAACACCGTTTCTCGTTCTATTTGTGCCCGAATACCAAAGTTTAAACCCTGAGTTTTCTAGATCCTTTGCCTTAAGACCAACCCACTTAGTTTCTTGTAGGCACATAATATTTATCCTTCTCCTCACCATAACTTCCACTACTTCCATAGATTTTCCCGTTAAGGTTCCTATATTCCACGTTCCTAAACGCATTTTACTCTCTTGAACTCTACCCTTCTGTCCTAGCTTCTTCACCCTCCCCCGTCTAATAGGATCAAAGTACTTCTTTTGTGTGTCCCGTGTAAAGTTGATAGGAGCATATGCTCCCAAACAACTTTGAGTGGAGTCGTTCGAAAAGAAGTTTCTATGGCCCCCTTGCTCATTTAACACTGCATCCGGGTGCCTATGGAGATACAGCGACCCTTGCTCACTTATCACTGTGCTCGGGCCACACAGCGTGCCACTTACGGGTGACGCCCTAGCTTTAGCGCGATTTCGTTCTGAATTCATTTTCATAAGGATTCGACATAACTGTGGAGTGCCGGTTGTCGACTACCTGACGCCCTCCCCCTCCTCCTTTACCCGGGCTTGGGACCGGCCATGTAAGATAAACTTACATAGGCGGAGTTGATATTTCTATGGATATATGCAAAAAATCATAGAATTAAAGATATGAGGGGGTTAAGTCTAAAATTGGCCTTATATCGGAGAAACTCTTAAGTTTTATGCTAAATTCGACATATATCATCAATATTTTTGACACATCTGTCAAATATCGGAGAAACTCTTATATTTCATCCAAACCAATGCTAAACAATCCCTAAAATTTCATTATAAATTTCCATTATTTCCATCGAAAGCAGCCAATGTCAATATTCGATATATCCGTCAATATTTTCACAAATTTACATATCGATATTCCCACTGATACCGATATTTTTAACACTAGTTAAGACTCCATAATTCTTATACATTAGGGCTCCGAGAATCGTTGAAAGTCCAATGACTTGTAAGCCAAGTCATTTATCCTTTCAAATATTCTCGGTATAATCCATAGTTCTCGGGAAGAAAATTCCATCACTAACATCAAAAAATGGTAAAAGGTCTTGGGAAGAAAATGGTCCTATTCGGCCGCTATACATTATTAACATCAAAAAATGGAATAGTTGGGAATCTTAAGTGGATGACCGAGCCGCTAAAGTTGTGATAATTCTTGTCTATCATTTTTTTTTTAAAATTTTTTTTAATCCACATGGCACAAATTTGAAACCACATCATTAAAAAGTGGGACCCATATTTACCACATCATCACTTAACCATTTACTTAACAAAAGTTTGAACGGATGTATGATATTGCAACTAATGGTAACTCTGTGTATAAAATTGTAATATTTTAAAGATAATGTATAAGGTTGCAATTGCATTCAAACTTGAGGGTGTAAAATATAATTTACCCAATATTTAATTTGATACTATAAAATTAGGGTAAATTACATTTTAACCCCTTTCAGTTTTGGGGTCGATTGCAACCTCATACAACATTTTAAAAACATTTCAATTTCATGCATTTACTTATCATTTTATTTCAGTTTCATATATCCGTTAGAAAATCCGTTAAGTGATGACATTGCAAATATGAGATCCACATTTGTGTTGACGTGGCTGCCAAATTTGTGCCACGTGGTAAACAAATAATTTTTTTATGCATTTAAAATATAATAATTTACCTTATTATTAAAAAAAAAAAACCCTGAAACCCACTTCCCCCGACCCACCTTCTCCTCCTCCATTCTCTTCACCTCTCCTCCCATCTAGGGTTGGGCACGGATCGGGTCGGGCCCAAAATTAGAGGAACTGGACTGGACCCGCTTGAAAATAAAACGGGATGGGCCAGATTAGGTAATAGAAAGTTTAAAAGTGGAACCAGACCTAACCCGACCAGTTTGAAACGGGCCGGTTCTATGGGTCCTCCACAGGTCCTTATGTAGAGAACTCCTTCTCCGCAGTGAACTCTATTTCTATAGTGCCCAACTTCTAGAGAGAATCGAGTTATTTTTTCAAATCTTTAACCATCTTCTCCTTGTTTCTGAAACCACAAACCATTCTACCATCGAAAAAAATAAAAAATTGGGAATTTGAATCCCACCGTTCTACCATCAATGGTGTTCTTATACTGAAGAACCCTATCGAGAATAGCAGGATTTACAAAAACCATAAACCCAAAATCTCTAGGGCGGCCGAAGACCTTATCCCTCACGACCACCTTCTATAAAACGTCGTCGTAGTTGAAGTACTCATTAAGCTTATCATATGAGGTCACCCATGAAATTCCACAAATAAAAAGCTTCCCCTGATCAGAATTCCATGTGGGTTTTCATTGCCCATTCTCACTGTCTGTGAGAGTGAAAGCTTCAATCTTTATTAAATTTTGTAGGTGGATTTGGGATTTGGAAGAAGGAAGGGTTTGTGACTGACAAGAGAGAGAGATTTGGTTGGAAAAATCGTTATTAAATTTTGAAGGTGGATTTGGGAGAGGGTGGGTGGGTTTGTGATGGACAAGAGAGAAATTTGGTTGGGTATAAAGCATGATTTGAGATTTGCAGACTTGTTCCATTAGATAGTTTGGGCCGAAAGCCCGTGTCCTCATACATTTGGACCCACCCCGCCTCGTTTTGTCTTTGAAGATTTTGGACCTGCCTCGAACCTTATGAGCCTGCCACAACCTGTGGGTCTAGGACCCATTTGCCCACCTCTACTCTCATCCAAAAAACCCACCCCACCTCCACCTCCCCCACAACCCCGCACCCCACCTTCACCTCCCCCGCAACCCCTCCACCCCACATCTTCTCCACATCGTCTTCTTCAACAACCTCTCTCTTTCGTTGTGCATCTTCATCTTCCAGACCTATTTCACCGAAATCACTCAGATCTAGTCGTCGGGGATGAGATCTCCGTCACCAGGGATGACTACACGTCGTTAGGTCTATGAGCCTCGTTGGAAAAAGGCGAATCAGGGGTGAATGCGACAAATATCTGAGCCTCCGTCACAAAAAAAACCCAGTCTCCATTGGTAGTCGGGGATCTCAAAAAGGTTTAGACTCCCAAGATGAACCACATTACCGCTAATTCGGAAAACACAAAGACGTGCAGTTGTGCACTTCATGGACTCTGGAGGCACCAACAATGGTGGTTGTGTCCATGTATGGGTTTGAAATTAGGGGAAGGGCAGATGAGCCTATGTGAATTCGGTGAGATGAGATAGAGTGAGGATAGATAATGGGTTTTGGGTTGGTTCGGGGATAGGGTTGGGGTTGGCGGCAGAGAGAGGAGAGAGCTTTGCAGCGAGGGATTTGGAGTTGCTCGGTTTTGTTTCAAGGTGTGTAGGAATTGCAAGGATTTGTAGAGTGTGTTGGTGGGAGGGAGGGAGGAAATAAGAGGTTGAAGATGAGGGGTAGGTGAACAGTGTGGAGGAGAGGGAGAAGGTGGGTTGGGGAATATGGGTTTTAGGGTTTTTTATTTTATTTTTTTTAATTTTAATAGGGTAGGGTAAATTATTATCTTTTAAATGTATAAAATTTTTTTTTTGTCATGTGGCACAAATTTGGCAGCCACGTCATCACTTAATAGTTTACTTAACGGATTTTCTAACGGATGTATGAAATTGAAATAAAATGATAAGCAAATGTATGAAATGGAAATGTTTTAAAGATGTTGTAAGAAATTGAAATCAACCCCAAATCTGAGGGGGTAAAATTTATCCATAAAATTATGCAGTGGGATAAGATGCAGACATAGCAATGCCGCAAAGTTCTTCAGGTGCACCAACATCTCTTTGCATTCTTATGTACCCTTCTTCACCCCCATTCTATACCCCATGAGTTCTTCGCCAACCAATACTTAGGTCAGGTTTGGGAGTGAGGTGATTAAAAAAAAGCTGGGGTGAAAAAAAGCTAGTAGTAGTTTTGGTGTTTGGTAAACTTTGAAAAACAGCTTTATTTCAAAGTTTAGGGTGAAAAAAAGTCCAAAACCTGAAGCTGCAAATAGCAACTTCATAAAACAGTTTCTTCTCAAAACACAAAGCTACAATAATTCTTTTAATGAAATTTTCAAATTGCCAATGTTGCCATCATTTCTCTCTGCCTTCTCTCTCACACGCCCTCCTGAAATCACAGAACATTCACTCCATCTTCTCTCTCGCACGCCCTCCTGAACTCACCCTCTTCTCCTCTGTTGCCTGCAGCTGTACCTCTTCTCATCCTCCTCATTTTCCTCTTTCTCCGTCGGTCTCAGCGCCAGCTGTCGCCTTCCCTCATTCTATCGCCGTCGCCTTCCCTCCTTCCTCTGGTAAGCTTCTCTTCTCTAAAATTTTGTTATTTATTTGTTTGGATTTTTTAATTTGGGGATGGGGAGAGTGAAAGAGGGGTGGGAAGAGCAAAGGGATGAATGTATGGATGTCGAGAAAACTGGGGATGGAGAAAACAATTGGGGAAAAAATTAGGGTTTGTGGAGGAAACAAGAAAATTTGTGCGCTAGGGAGAATGTGTATGTTGTATGTTGTATGCTATATGTGCAGAGTGCTATGTGTTCAAATTATTTGGTGCTTTCCTTTCTATGTCTTTTTAGGCCAACAAAGATATAAGAAACCTTTTGCATAAGATGAGTATAAAATTGGTGTTGTCTGTAAATTGCAGGAGTAGTGTGACCTGATCTTATCGTAGGTATAGCGAAAGTATTCTAGAGAATGTGGTTATTTTCTAGTCATAAAAGTTTCTTGATATTATTAAAAGCTTGACCTTTAGATGTCTATATGGAGTCATTATAAAAGAGTCGATTTTAGTTTTTGAGAATATGCCTAGCTAGGATTAGCACGGTACTGTTTGAAGATTGTGCGGAAGTTGCTTTCTCCATTAGTCATTGATTGTGGGAAGTGATGAGTTAATAACAAGAAGTCCTTGAAATTGGGTATGAAGATATTTATCAAGGCTGTAAAAGACTCGAATTTGTTTTCTCTTGGTAGTCACACTTTCTTGTTCATTATGGTCACACTAGACTTTATAGTAGACGACAGCATTCCTGACCTATTTAGTATTTATCTGCTCTTTGCCCTTGAACCGGAGTTGTTGTGACTATTTCTTCCTCATTGGTGCTGGTTTCACCTGTCATTGTAGTCAGGTTTACAACTTTTTTTAATACTATGACTTTGGTTGGATCAGTGATCATCATTTTGAGTGTTTCAAAAGTCAAACAATCTTTGTTAGCAATAAAAATGTAACAGGGTCTTTTCCTGGTTATTATATCAAATTGGTGGAAATTACAATGTGGATGGGTGTAACAAAGAAAAAGTATATCATTCTCTGGTGCTTTTCATGATTGATGTGAGGAAGTTCACTTGTACATCATTTTCATTTTGTGTGGGGAGGTTCTTTGGTTGCTGTTTCTCATTCAGGTGGTATGGAGTAGCCATTGGTATTTTTCACATGAAATATGCAGCAGTGGTTTTCCATGCCGATTAGTTATGACGGATTATTTGCTTTCAGTTTTACATTGTAATATGTTAGTATTGGCCCTTTTATTGTCTTTTGTACTGATTCATATGTGAGATTGAGTTCCTAATTAAGAAAGAGACAGAAAAGGGAGGGAGTGTTCCATGTTTGGTTTGACTGAAGACTTGTACACCTAAGCTTTGTGATTGTTCTTCCGTGGAGGTTCATTTTTTTCTTCTACTTCCCCTTTAATTTGTATTGTTGCTGATTTAATTTGCCTTTGTGGAATGGAATTCCTGAGCATGCTTCTGGCTGCTGCTATTTCTCATTTTTGGTTCAATTGTTACATCAATTTTTCTTTTATTCTCTGCTACTTGGTGATCGTGAGATGCAAATTGGGAATTTGAATTTGTTTGTGTGTTTGTGTGAGAGAGATATTGGAAGCTTTGTAGGATGTGTAGACAAGTATATGTATAAGGATTGATTACAACTATACCAATATGACAGTGCTTAAAACGATAATCAAAACTATGCATGACCATATTAAATGCAGTACGTGCATGATTAGGGTTTGTGATAGTATAAGAAATATAGAATTAATCCGGTGTGGAAGACAGTGAAGCCATGATCTTGTCTTCTCTTCTCTTGGATTCAGAAATAGTATCTCAATACTCTCAATAGGACTGGTATTCGATATGAGAACAAGTAGTACCCGAGAAGAGAGACCAAAATCGACTTTATATGCTACAACTACATCTCCCTATCAGAGATGCAGTTGATGTCAGTTTGTGTAGGTTACAACTGCATTTTATTTGAATTGATAACCACCTTTAGTTTTCCCTCTAATATATAATTAATCTGGTGTAATTCATATAATTGAGTCCTTACATAATACAACCCTTTCACTTGTATTGTATATCTGCACTGTGGTTTAAATGACACTCACATATAAGCAACTTTAAGCACAGATTGAAGCTCCAACTAGTTGGTATCAATGGCAAACAAGGGGGCATCTTCGTCAAATCCTACAGCTACATGGAATGCTCACAATATATCTATATTTTGTGATGTATGCATCAAGGAGGTTGAGGCTGGACATCGTCCGGGCACTCACTTTGACAAAAATGGATATGCAAATATTAGAGCTAACTTCAAGGTAGAGACAGGGCATGATTATGAAAGAAAGCAATTAAAAAATAAGTGGGATGCACTTAAAAATGAGTGGAAGTTGTGGAAAGAGCTAGTTGGTAAAGAAAATGGCCTAGGATGGAATTCAAGCAAGGGTACCGTTGATGCCTCTGAGGAGTGGTGGAATAATAAAAGTAAGGTTTGTGTATTTATCTTTTAATATTATGATATCATGCAATATGTATTAACCATATTCTTTCTTACTTGTAGATAAACAAAGAATATGGAAGGTTGCGAAAAAAGGGAATTAGTCCTGAGACGGATGACAAGTTAGATAGGATGTTCTCGAACACAGTTGCTACCGGTGAACATGCCTGGGCACCTTCATCTAGGGTACTACCACCAGAGACAAGAGATGAATCTATAGGACAAATTGATTTAGATGATGAGGAAGAAAGTGAGACTATGCAGGATCTAAGGCAAACTACTAGGAAGGGACAAAAAAGAGCGGCTAACCAAGGAGAATTGCAAAAGAAGAAGGTTGATAAGAAAGGGAAAAAAATTGGAGGTGCTGCAAAACTTTGTGGTCAAATTGACCGTCTTGTTGAAGTTTATGAAACTAGGAGTTCTGCAAACTCATTGATGTCCAAATTGCATATAGGCAATAGTATTCCGGAAGCGTTAGCGACTGTTGCACAATTGCCTGGTTTTAAGCCACCTAGCGAGTTATGGTTGTTTGCTACATGTTTATTTTGTAGTGTGGAGAAGCAAGAGGTGTTTGGCATGATGAAAGATCCTAAAGTCCAACTAACTTGGTTGAAATATATGTTCAACAAAGAAAAATAAGGAGCTAAAACCTTAAAACTATGAATTAGGACTATATATGTGGTTTGTAGTTTGCATTAAGATTATGTATTGAATGTTGCTACATGTTTATTGAATGTTGGATTATATGTTGAATGTTGAATTATGATTTCTTGTTAAATGTTGGATTATGACTTGTTCATGAATGTCGGATTATGACTTCTATTGATGCACAAAACCGGAGGGGTCTTGGAACAACGTAAATTCGACCGTGAATCTGCAAGAAAGTAAAGAACACAAGATGTATCGTCGTTCACCTCAATGTTTGGGCTACGTCCACACTGATGTTGATATTGTTTCACCCTGAATGGTGAATATACAAGAAGGCTAGAGACAGTGTGCTCTCTAGCCTATTTTCTATGTGCTTTCTTCCCATGGCCTAAAACTCGGCCTCTCTTAATGAGAGCTTCTCACTTATTACATATTTGCCCCTTCATCTATTACATAATTACATTTGAGTCCCCTGAGTATTTATACGAGGTCTAAATACGGAGGCCTTAAATATGGTACAAACAGTAATCCCCAAAGTCTTCAGTCAAGAGAGTCTTTTGGCTAGAGACTTGAAATTCAGTCCGTGTGTGGGTCGAAGTAACTAGATGCCGTCTAGAACTGATACTCGATATGAGGCGGTGCTCAATGTGAAATGATGCTAAACTAGAATTAGCACATGTTGCGAGGCTGCTCAACTTGTAGCTTATGTTGCCTTGGCTTGTGGCGTTGAAGGTAGGGGAGTCATTTTTATAGAATAAGGGCTCGCTCCTCAATACATAAATAATGGGCTAGAGTTGATGCTCGCGGCAAGGTGGTTGCTCAGCAGGCGGCGAAGCTCTCTAATGATGGTGATGGAGTCCATTTTATAGAATAATGGCTCGCTCCTCAATACATAAATGATGAGCTAGAGTTGATGCTCGCGGCGAGGCGGTTGCTCAACAGGCGGCGATGCTCTCTAATGATGGTGAGGGAGTCCATTTTATAGAATAAGGGCTCGCTCCTCAATACATAAGTGATGGGTTAGGAGTGATGCTTGCGGCAAGGCGGTTGCTCAGCTGGTGGCGATGCTCTCTAATGAAGGTGAGGGAGTCTTTTTTTATAAAATAAGGGTTCACTCCTCAATACATGAATAATGGGTTAAGTTCCCCAAGTATTTTTCATGAGGCCCAGTTGCGGAAACCCAATATATGGTACATAGTGTAGTCCCCCAAGTCTTCAGTCAAGAGAGTCTTTTGGCTGGAGACTTCAAATTCAATCCATGTATGGGCTGAAGTGGCGGTTGTTCAAAGGCGGTCTTTGTATACCATGCACTGAAGCTTTGTAGGTGAAGCTTTGAAGTCGGAGCTTTGTAAATGAAGCTTTCAAAATTTAAGCTTTTGTAAATGAAGCTTTTGAAGTTAGAGCTCTGTAAATGAAGCTTTCGAAGCTGG